GATGCATAAACAGCTTCAAGACGCTTGAGTTCTTGTTTACTTGGAACTTCTCTATGAATATCCTTGGAAAGAAAACAAGTCCCGATCAGAGCAATGTGCAGTCGGAAGATATAGAAGGATTGCACTCCTACGTCAGGCGGTTCAATCTAGTGAGAATCCAGTTTTAAGGGATGTCTAACGAGGTAACCTATACAGACTTCTTCAAGGTTCTGAAGGATGAGTCGACTTTCAAGTTTGACCTCATCCGCAAGAAAATCTTTACCCTCCAGGGAGCCCTGATGCATGCGGAAGCCTATATATAGATGTAGACACCTAAAAATGTTTCCCCAAAACCAAACCCGATGATGAACAACTTTTCATCGCCATTATTGGTCGGGTTGAGTATTTAATTCCCAGAGTGCTTAAAATTCATATTCAATCAAATTCGGTTAATATCAAGTTTGTGGTCCGATGTGCAGGCCTCTTTGGTATAAGAGGATCTTTAACATGATTAGAACCTTCACCCCCCTCACAATTGGCTTGTGCTTGAGTGGAGGGAGTTGACTCTTTCTCACCACATAAAGATGGAGTGCCTACCACACCTTCCTGACCTCCCTCATTTGCAAGCACAACAATCTTCTCCTCTACTTGCTAATCAAGTAACTGAAGAGCTTGTATAACAACTACTGCAGTTTCCCGATACCCCGATGCTTTTGAACACAAATATCCAAACTTCACCATCACCTTATCATACCTACACACTTCCTCGGTTTTGCTAGGGTCATGGTATAATACCATTACTCTAGTGTGCTACTGTATAACATCTTTCCTCCAACACCAAAGAATGAACTTGTCTGGCATCTCTTAGTAGTTGCTCATCTCAAAAACCTTTATTATGTGACGATAAATAATCCCATGATGTTCAAAGATGTGACAGTCACAGGTGACATCCTTGGATGAGCTATCAAAGAGAAGCTTCTACTTTCGCTTTCCTGTAGAAGGTTTTTCTTTGTTGGAACCTTTTGGCTTGTACCACACTCTGTCCTCAACAACATGCTCAGTTATGGTTTCGGTTACATGCATTCTATAAATCCCACTCACATACGTTATGCGGTTGCACTCTCTTTAAACCTCCTTAAATTTGGCATCTATATATATCTTTTGAAATATTTACTCAGTCGGAAAATCGGTGTATGACCGACGCAGAAACTTTCCGCAATTGTCATCGACCCTTTTCTCACTTGTGCATCTAACCTCCAAGGCGTCACAATACACTACTACAAAATTGGCCAAATAGATCATCTCAAAATGGTCAAAGAGACCATTTTAGGTGTGGTCTCTAGCTAAGAGGTGTCTTTGGCCAAAGAGACCACTTCATCAAAAGTGGTCTCTTGTTTAAAAGTTGAGACCACCTAGCTAAAATAGATGATCTCTCTTTTTAATTTAATAATAAATAATATAGAGGAACAAGAGACCAAATGTTTTAAATAGGTGGTCTCTAGATTTAAAAACTGAGACCACCTATTTTAAATGAGTGGTCTTTGGTTTTTGAATAATGAGACCACTTATTTAAAATAGGTGGTCTCTCCATGGTCATTTTTAAAAAAAAAATAATGATAAAAATTATATTCAATTGATCGTATGATCTGAATTATATTGATTCCCTGCAATTTTGCAATTCATATTCCTGCTGCAATTAATTTTGGCGCCAATACATATACATACACATAAATTTTCCATATAATATATATATATATATACATAAATATAAAATCTTTAATACAAAAACAAATTATGTGCAACAGATTTGAACCCAAAATTTACATTAATTTTAATATTCAAAAACAAAAGTCAAAAGTAGAGCTTTTCCTCCAAAAAAAAAATTTCAAAATTGGAGCTAGATGTAAAAGTATAATGATTAAAAGTAAGCTAATTTCATACTCAAGCTCATCTCATTCTTCATTAAGCTCATCCATCATGAATCTTCTTCATCTGGCTCATGATCAAGAACATATTTTATCCACAAATCTCGCATTTCATCAATGTCTTCCGAAGAATATGTACAAATCGAGGGAAAGGCCTGCAACTTACAACATATGCCATCAAATATAAGTATAATTTATTTATTTATTTTTGAAGGAAAGCAAAGAGATATTTATCCAAATGCCGAAAAACAGACATAACAAAGCACTGCACATTGATGAACATCCTCAATCCACAACCTTAGCTCACTTTTTTTTAACAAGAAAAGGAAAATTATTACAACTTAGATGTTAAAACATCTAGCACATCAGAGTTTGTGAGGCAGGAAGGTGAAGGAAATGGGTGATGAAGCTGAGACTAGAACTAATACACCAGGCTTAGAAAAGGACAAAGCACAAGGTCAACACGGAAAAGATTAGTTTTCTGAGTGTATCAACCTGATTACAGGTTATGGACACTGAAAAAACAAAATAAGTTTGCTTACTAGTATGATTTATAAACCAATGCAGCCTCGAAGGAAGAAGAGTGCCTCAAAGTGGATTGCTCCCTCTAATGGTTTAATTAAGGTGAATGCGGATGCTTTCCTAGCTAATGAAGGTTGGGTGGGGCTCGGTGTGGTGGCAAGGGATCACAGAGGGGAGGTTCTCTTCTCCGCTGTCAGACGAGTGAGAGCTCAATGGCCTGCAGCAATGGCAAGAGGCAGAGCATTGTTATTTGCCATTAAGCTTGCAAGGAGACTCGGGTATCAGGACTTGCTGCTTGAATCAGATTGCCAGGTACTGATAAATAGGCTATCAAAGTTGTAAATTACAGTCTTAATTTTCATGGAGTAGCATAATCTTAATTATATGCCAACCTGACTGATGCTGATAAATAGGATCAGAACTCCAATGTCAAATTTCATTCCTAACTTAATTTCAAGACTGATTCTAAAATGAAAAGTAGACTTGACAATTAGAACTACAATCAGAACTACAGATCAGAATATACAAACCTTATAGCTATTATAGATTGCATAAGCTGGTTATTTTTGGTGGTTAATATGATTAAGCTGTATGCAGACTGCAGAGTTACATTCACAAGTCCCAGTTAGTTATAGCAACAGACAGAGAGAGTTACATTCACATTTCAGACAGTTGGTTTCACAGTTCAGAGTTACATTCATAGTTGGTTTCACAGGTCAGAGTTGGTTTCACAGTTCAGAGTTACATTCACAGTTCAGACAGAGGTTCAGACATGCAGACAGTTGGTTAGAGCTGAGGATAGTTTATACCAATTTAAATGACATATATTTATAATAATATACCTGCTTAGAAACCCATAGCACTCTTTTCTGCACAATGTCTAGCATATATCGACAAACAAAGTATCCACAATACTTGGTGTATGCTGGTTGACGAGGAAACTATGATAATGCAAACAATTAATCATTAACAAGATATTAGATTTTAGGATTAAACTGCATAATATCAACTGCTGTAAAAGTGATGATAACTTACTTGTGGTTGCTCCCACCTAATATATGCATTCTTTTTTATTTTCTTGATGTCCTTCCGATGGACCGAGCTAAATTGTTTGATTCCTCTACATAATTATATGAAGATAGGAAAATTGTAATAGTTTCCAAATACACAATAAGAACAAAATCAGAAGTTATTGACACAGTTATTGCAATTATACATACTCAGTGATGATCTTTTCAGCGAATGAGTTGATTTTATTTTCTGCTCCAAGTGGATCTAGCTATCACACACATTCTTCTCAATATGCATAACATCAAGTGAATGTCTCACAAAAAGATGTTTCCAATAAGGAAGCCGCCAAAGAACCGAACACTTTTTGAACCCCTGCGTAGAAAGGGCCGATTTATGTTTCTTGCCAAATGTGATGTCAATATTTTTCACCTTATCGAATATCTCTTCACCTAAGATGATTTTTGATCGCCCTTTAAACTCTTGCTTCCCATTGAACACATTCTTTCTCCTGCGATATGGATGATTAGGCGGCAAAAACTGATGATGAACAGGATAGACATGCTTTTTAGATGCATTTAACAACGCTCCCTTGCAATCTTCCATACCGATGGGCCAAACTGTTTTCCCCTTCACAGTGTACCCCGAAAGGTTGCCATACGCCGGAAAATCTTGGATAGTGCAAAATAGCATTGCTTTCAAATTAAAATTCTCATTGTGATAAGCATCAAACACTTCAACACCTTCTTCCCAAAGCATAATCAAATCATCAATAAGTGGAGTCAAATACACATCGATGTCATTGCCCGGTTGCTTTGGACCTTGAATTAACAACGACATGAACATATACCTTCTCTTCATGCACAATGAAGGAGGTAAATTGTAGGTCACTAGCATAACTGGCCATGTGCTATATGTGCTACTCAAGGAACCGAATGGATTGAACCCATCCGTAGACAATGCAAGGCGTAAATTACGCTTTGCTTGGGCAAAGTCAGGGAATTTTCCATCAATAAATCTCCACTACGGAGAGTCAGCTGGATGTCTAAGCATTCCATCATCAACTCGACTATCGAAATGCCATGTCAACTTCTTTGCATCTTCTGCTTTTGAAAACCATCGTTTGAACCTTAGTACTATAGGAAAATACCATAAAACCTTCGCTGGTACTGCTCCTTCCCTTTTCTTGTACCGTGAAGCTTCACAAATTGGACAACTCTCTAATGATTCGTATTGATTTCGATACAATACACAATCATTAGGGCATGCATGGATTTTCTCATAAGGTAAACCCATTGGGATTAGTGACTTTTTCGCCTCATATGTACTATCAGGAAGAACATTATCTTTGGGAAGCATGTCTTTCACTAACTCCAATAACATATTGAAACTAGTGTCAGTCCAACCATGACCCGCCTTCAAGTTATATAACTTAAGAATAGCGGATAATCGCGTGTACTTGGTGCATCCTTCATACAATGGCTTTTCAGAGTCACTTAACAAGATCTCAAGCATTGAAGGGTTGTCATCAAGTTGATCCTCAACCGCATGCAACATGTCCTCTAACTAATCTCCCTCGTCAACATCATGAACTACACGCACATTATCCCTAGTCTCACCACTATCACCCGCATGCATGTCTCTACGTTCCCCATGCCAAATCCAATGGGTATATGTTCTATCAAATGCCCATTTATTTAAATGATTGAGAATTTCATCCGGTCTCTTATGCAAAAAATTATGACACATAAAACAAGGACAACGTAGCTTGGAGCGACCTCCACTATTTTCAAATGCAAATTTAATAAATTCCTTAACACCTTGTTGATATTCAGGGTCACCTGGCTTTGTTGTTGTTATCCAACTTCGATCCATTTCTAAGCACGAAGAACAAAACACAAACTCCTCAAAATCTATTAACACATGTTACTTTCATGAGTCATTCTTAGAATATTCATAACACAAAGACCAAATCACAAATAAAAACAGAGGAAGGTATGCAATTGGTGGCAACTAATTAAATCCACATGAACCCTAAGCATTATTTGCCGGAAACAAACCATAAAATCCTAATCACTAATGGAAAAAAAATACTCCTACCAATCAAACAATTTTAAATGTGGCATTAGTTGTAAACAAATGAGCATACATTATAGCAAATATTTTATTCACTAATGGAAAAGAAATACTCCTAGCAATCAAAGCCTAAATTTCAGCCCTACTCATAAAGTAACAAGTCTTACCTTCCTTTAAGTTGGGGGAACAGGCTAGTTTGTCCCGAAATAAGAACACAAATGCCACAAATAGAAGGTTTTATTTGAACTAAAATAATAATGTGACAGAATTTTATAATGTTAGATTCTATTTATAAAAAAAATGTACAAGTTCAGTAAAAAAATGTACAAGTTCAGAATTTTATAATGTTATATTCTAGTTTTTCTTTTCACTTTTGCTCTGATAATTTCAATGATCAGCTCTATCTTGATATAATATAAGCTACTTTCCCTTTTGTGTTAAAAAAAATGGGCATACATTATAGCAAATATTTTATTCAACTTTTAAAAAATCCAAACTTTCGCGGGAAAATCAAAATCCAATAACTCACTACTGTATAACTGAAAACAGGATTCATATATGAACAAGATGAGCAGATTACTATAACAATAGAACATTGTAGCAAACAATCAATAAACACAACTACACGATTCATATTCAAAATAATATCTACATAAAACAAACAAAATAAATATGATACCTAGCTTAGTTGCGGTGAACCTAATGGGGCTGGTTAGGGTTTTCTGTCTGGTCCTGTTGGCAGTGGTTGGCCGGAGGTAGAATGCGTCAGTAGTCGTTTGTGGTCTTGTGGAGGCTAGCAAAGTTGTGCGAATAGCTAGGCAGTAGTATTGAAATTGCGAATTCAATGCCCAAAATAACCAATCAATTGCTACCCTGCGACCCTATGTGGTGCTAGTAGCGCAGTAGGCGACTGTAGGCGGTGTTTTCCGGCTAGTCGTGCGACCCTAGGTGGTAGAGCGATTGCAAGAGTCGGTGCTTGTGTTTAAGGGTTTGAAATTTGGTTCTAATCTTCAAAAGATTGTAATAAATTTCATATAATGGGTTTGGAAATGAAAATGGAGGAAGATGAAAATGGAAAAGGTGGAAAACGGAGGTGGAAATAATGGCGGATTGAAGGTCGGTGCGCTGCTGCGTGCTCTAGACTGTGTTTTTGGCGGTTCGTTTTGGGGGAAAATGAAAATTAAATTAATTAATTGGGTTCCAACACAAAAAAAAAGGAAAATTAATTGAATTGGGAATGTGTTGACCATCTTGACTGATGATAATGTAGAGAGTAGAGACCATATTAGACTTTCCACTGGTCTCTCCTTTGTTTTTTTTTTACAAAAAAAAATTTATTATATATGTATTTTAAAAAAAGAGACCACTTATGTAGAAAAATGGTCTCTGCCGTTTTAAATTGAAATTTTGAAAAACTACAAGAGACCTATTATTTCAAATAAGTGGTCTCTCGAAATATCAAAGAGACCACATATTTAGGATATTTGGTCTCTTGAAACTAAGAGACTACCTATTTAATTAAATGGTCCCTAACTTGAGGTCTCTTTGGCCAATTTTTTAGTAGTGATACCTCTCCACAAACTCACACAACAGAGTGTGCTTGCTCAAATACCCATTAAAGAACCTGTGAATACTCTCGACCCACTAAGTTGTTTTCATGCGAGCCCAAAACAGATGTTTCAAATATGCATGAACCCACATATCACGTTCAACCCACAACCCTACAAATCAAAATCAACCAAATGTCTGAGCAATTAATCAATGCTATGATACTGTGTAAAAAAATGATAAAAAACTAACTTTACATATAATCTGTGAAATTTCAGCAAATTCTAAACTAGTTTAGCTTTAGTATCCCACTAGCACTCATTAAAACAAGAACCAGCAGCAAATATGCACAAAAATAACAGCAAGAGTTAATATATGCAGGATATGAACAGAGTTAACATATGTAGGCCATTGATATGTAGGCTATGGCTATGGAAGCAACAACAAAAATGACAAACAATACCACCAGAGTAGCTTACACCATAGTTCAAGTACTGAAACCAACAATGCACACATCCAGGACAGCAAATGCACACATCTAATGTTTCTTATGTACTGACAGCAACATTACAGGCATATTATGAACAAGATGACCCTACTTATGGCAATTCTGCCCTATAACAAAACAATAATTAACAAGAAACTACAGGGTGTAAGTCCAGGTATACCACATATAACATAGTATTAAGCATACAATAACATAGATTTAAAAAAAAAAAAAAAAGCATCACACACACCTTGCAGCCAGTCATCGTCTTCTAGTTCATGCTTCTTGATAACCTTTCGCCAATTTATCTCAAACTCTTCGCGATCTAGGTTTTCATAGATTACATGCTCAAGGTCGTCGTGAATTTGGGTATAATTAGGAAGTTTCCCAAGTTTCTTAGCAAACTTATGTGTAATGTGCCAAATACACCATCGATGAATGGTGCCTTTCATAGTGACCTTCAAAGCTTTCCTCATCGCCGGATCTTGATCGGTTAGGATACTAATTGGTCTCTTTTCACCCATACACCTCAACCAATTAGAAAACACCCACTCAAATGTTTCCACGGTCTCGCGAGAAACCAATGCAGATCGAACAATATCGTTTAACCGTGATGGTTTACCCCCACAAAATTACAAAAGGGGAGCTGATATTCGTTAGTCAAGTACGTCAAATCAAAACACACAACATCACCAAACTCCTTGTATGCAGCCCGACTCCTACCATCTACCAACAATACATCTTGGAGCCTCCTCAAATCATCCACATGATATGTATGAAAAAACTTTGAATCATCATCCATCATCCGCTTGAGGTATGCAAACATTTCCTTGGCATCACCTTCTTTAAATATGATTTTCCTTTGCTTAGCAGCCTCACTATGCAAATCCTTTTCAGTAAATTGCATCTCATCCCTTCTGTCGACATATACTTTTGGCCTCCTGTCCCGACAGGAAGTGCAATGACGATAAATAAAACCATCTTCATGTTGAATTGAAGTGGAGAATCTTATGGATAATTGATTAAGCCAGAAAACACAAAAGACTAGCCCAAACTAAAGAACAAAGCTAAACAAGGTCCAATTAACTAAATCCAATCATAATTAGGCTTAAGCCCATGCTTAAAACCCAATAATGACGGATTTAGGAGCGCCTAGGTTAAATTTTAATGCTGCCACAGAAATAGCCGCGTGCATCTCAATCAGTTGCGCTAGGAAAGCACGCGCAACTAATTCAGTTGCGCGCGACACTCAGCGCAGCCTCTAGAGATGCGCTCGCGGAAGATTCAGAATTTTGCGCAAATATAAAATCAAATCTTACCATAAGGCCGCACGCAAGACATCCATTGCGCTGCCCATAGGAGCGCAACTAAATTACTTGCGCTGAGATGCCGCGCGAATCTCATCCAGTTGCGCCCGACACTTGCTGCGACAGAATGCTCAAAACCCTAATCCTACTCATTCCCTATAAATAGAGGCTTAATCCGAGGCTTAAAGAGACAGAAAAATAACCTAAAACTCTAGCGGAATACTTGTGAACTTGTGCTACCTAACCCCTCTTGCCTAAACACTCACCCCTTGATATTTTGTTACTACGGTGGAGGTTCCCAAACAAGAAAGTGTCCATATGTGTTCTAAATGGAGATCTAGCAAAGAGAAGTGGTAAATTCCCTAGCACTTAGATAAATCATATTTATTTTCTTGTTTAAAAGAACTTTAATTAATTAATTAGTGTTGTTTGATCACCTTAAAAGGACTAATTAATCAATTCCACGTAGTATCTTGTGTTAAATTCCACATAGTTTGGTCTAGGTTCCCAATTACGAAGATTTCCCTTCGTAAGTTTGAGTCGTGGTCGAAGGGTAACATGAAAAAAATAATAAAAAACAATGACAAAAAAATAGCGCTCAAATTAAAAAAAATCTTACGAGCAGGTGGCGCGCGCAACTCAATGATTTGCGCGACCCCTACCAGCGCAAGTGATTCTGATGCATGCGCCAGCCGCGCGGAGCTTAATCACTTGTGCGCGCCCACTGTTATGAGTCAATTTGATTTCTAAAAAAAACAAATTGACTCGTTCAAACAATATCTTCATTGGAGAATTGTTTAAGGGTGATGTTATCCGTTCAAATATACCTTGTGTCATTTCTTTTTTTTCCCTTTCTTCTAAACAAGCGTATCGATTTACTTCTCCTTTCATACTTCTTTTAGGTCCGGTTCTCAAGCTTGGGAACGAAGGATCTCGGGCACTCGTATTCTACATTTACCATCAAGTAATCCACCTCTTTCAAACCACCTTTCCTCAACAACTAGTCCTAGTCCAACAACAATGTCAACCATCAAACAAATCCAAGAAGAGATTGCTCACTTGAAAGAAGAAAAAGCTCAAGAGGCCGAGGAAAGAAGAATTAAGAAACTTGAAAAAGCTGAAAAGAAAAATGTCGAGGCTCTAGCCTTGCAACAAAATATGGAACAATTATTCGTCAAAGAAAAGTTGTTGGAGAATCTTGTTCTTTGTTCCACCATGGGGAACAAGTACTTCGACGCCAAAAAGTTTGCTCCTCCATCTAGACTTGCTTTACTAGAATAGTTCGTAGCTACGGACTTGCCAATATTTAAGGTGACCAATAATCCATAAAACCAATTAATGTGTTTTACTGGCACAACGACATTAAAGGGAGTTGATCCTAAGCTTTATGCTTTGACTTTCCCTTTATCTTTAGACCCAACCGCGAGAGAGTGGTACTATGGGTTAGATCCAAAATTTAAAACAACATGGGAAGATGTAGTTTCGGCTTTCATTACCCAATATGAGAGTAATGTAGAGTTCAAATCAACTCTATGTGAACTTTAAATGCATAAGCAAGGCGACAATGAAGGTTTCCTTGCTTTCTATGGTAGATGGCGAGAAAAGGCGTCCCACCTGGCCCAAAGGCCACCTGAACTCGAGTTGGTACAAAAATTTATTGACAACTGTCATGAAAAGTACAACAAACATTTACGTGTGGGGAATAGATTTCAAGCGTTAATCCTCATGCTTGAACCCCACTGTGATCATACACTAAAGTACGGTGGCGTCCAAAATAGAAGAAGATAGAGAAAAGGAGTCGCCAACAAGTTTTAGGAACTTATAAACCGTTCACAGGGTGAAGGTTACACCCCTTAATGATCCAAGAGATCGTCAACTTTATAAGGTCTAGAACCAAATAAGGGTTCGGGGATGAAGGTACAAATCCAACCTAAAAGTGATTGAACCTGCCCTAATAATAGGCCTCTACTTTAGTCACATCGTACTCATGTGCGCTTTTTAATTAACATACAATCAATAGGATTAACCCTAAACATGTTTATCTATGTTGGTTGAATTTAATGCACAAACAAACTATTATTGGCAATCACTTGAAATTATAATCAAATTAACCCTAAACAAGATTATTAATTATCTTATTAAGCGTGATTACAAGTACAAATTCCCTTTAAACATGCATAAAAGGTGTGATCAAGCAACAACAATAAATATCAAGGAACATAATAAATAATCATAATAATAATAATTATAATTATAATCATAACAACCATAATTAAAATTAATATCATAATAATAATTATAACAATCATAAAATTATAATCATCATAATTAATTATAATCATAGAAATAAACATGTTCATGTTAAAGCATAATAAAAATAGCAAGATCCTAGGCATGATGCTAACAAGATTAATAACAAACCCTAGCATGTCACTAAGAAATCAAGATCAAATCTTTAACCCTAACATGATACTAACAATCACAACTATTAGGAAGAAAATAAAAGGCATCGCAGAAATCATATTTAATATTAAAATTACCCTAGACATGATACTAGGAATATCATAATAACAATATAAACATGATTTCTACATCATAATATCAATTAAAACCATTAAAGAACTTACTTTGATGCCTCGTACCTCTTTCTAATAACAAAATACACACGTTAGTAACTTCAAGGAAATTAATAAACAAAACAATTAAATCAAATAATTGAAATAGAGATTAGGGACCAAACCCTCAGAAATTAAAACCTTTCCACGTCTAGGGCGAACAAAACTTCGAATATGGCTAGGTGTTTCTAGATCTTGTGAATGTAGAATTTTGTATGTAAAAGACTAATTTAGAAAAGGGAGAGAGAGGGAGATGATGGTGAATGATTAGAGAGAATGAGAGAATTATCGAATGAAAACTGATTGTAGGTGAATGAAAACGGAGTTTTTAAAACATTATTTATAGAGAAATCAGCCAAAAAGATAAAATATCAAAACAGAGCCTGGCGCACGCAAAACAGAGCTGGCGCCAATGGCTGGCCTGGTTTCAGGCGCCAATGCATGGAGTCAGGCGCCAGGCCTGTTTTTGACGCGTTTTCGAAAATCAGATAAGTTTACCGTACTAGAGGATAAAATTGTATCTTTTCCTCGAAAATGCTTTTTAATTTTAGTTAAAACTCTGAAAAGTGAACAAAAGTCAATTTATCAATGCTAATTGAATTAGGAATGAAAAGAACCTTCTAAAAGAATCTAGAAGACTAAAACCATTCCTAATTGCATTAGGAATAATAAATCATATTAGGCCCTCCCCTAGATCATTGGGCCGCATATAAGGTTCAAACCGGGTCCAGTTTAGTAAATTGGCCATAACTTCCTCAATATTCATCGGAATTGGGCTTATAATATATAGTTGGAAAGCTCTTATCAAGCCCCATCCAACTACACTATTATTGGACCCATATCATGGACTAATCAAACTTGATAGGCTGTTTTCTTAAAATAAGTTTTCAAAAAACAGAGAGAAGAGAAAAGAAATTAAAACTATCCGCAACACTAAACTTTTCACATTTTCGCTTCATTCGATTATGATTCGACGTGAAAGGTACTCATCACCGGGTTTGGTTTTGGGGAGACACAAATGGGTGTCTACAGAAGCCCCAACTTTGACTGAGTTTGGAGAAACGCGAGTTTCGAAACAAAAGTCAAAGTATCGATAGGGACGGAGAATGATTCAGAACGTTCTGTGATCCTAAATCACTCTTGTAACGCTGATACCTGCAAACTAGCGTTAGTTAAACATATAAAAGAGTTAAGAAACGCGTATCTTGCACCGTCGAGCACACGTCTCTGAAAGTAACCGATTTTTTTGATGACCTCCTGCAAGCTAGAGAACGCCATCCCGCTTGAAAACCGCTACACCTGTAACTGCTTCCAATATAGAAGATTGCTTCGTCTGAAACGATCCTCCTCCGCTTTGATAATATTCCACATCCAAGGGAATACTATCGAAGATTGTTTCTCTTGAAACAATCCTCAGTTGTTTGTGACAACTCTCCACAATCTAGGGAACGCCACCTTGCTGTTTTGATGTTCACTCGTCTCTGAACAAAGAGCTTCCTTTTTTTTGATATGTTCACGCGCCTTTGAACAAAAGAGCTTCTTTTTTATATGATC